TTGTCAGTTCGGCGAGTGCCATGGCCGTGTTGACCAACGAGTTCATATGCTTGAACTTCAAGTCTACCGAGCTGCGCATTCAAGTCCCCGGTGAGCACCAGGATGTCGGTACGGCGGCTTTTACGGAGTAAGTCGGCCAGTTGACCATAGAACTCATCTTTAACTGACTCCGGGCTGCAATCTGTAGGAGCGTACGCTGCGACATTGAGTAGACAGCGTCTGCTGATTTCTCGCCTGAACAGTCGCACTGGAGTTTCAAGTCGGATCGGGCATAGTCAACTGTTAACAGAGATCCAGTCTAGTAGCGCGGTCTCAGCACATGTGCTCAATGCAATACCCACGCCAGCATAACCAGCGGCTTCGGCGGTTGTGTCTCCAGATAGGCGCAAAGTGAAAATGCAGGTGGAATTCGCAAACGGTGAACCTAGTCGCAGCGCCGTGCTAGAGTCCTGTAAACGGGTCTGGTTGAGATAGCAGACATTAATGCTCGTAGTTTCTAGAGTGCGAGCAAGGGCTGCCTGTGATCCAATCTGTATCACCGTCCGAACATTGAAGGTTTCCAGCTTGAATTAGGAAAGGTGCGGTAGAAATGGCTTGTCAACACCAGTTGCCGTATCTTCAGACCTTGGCTCCTTATCCGTCTGGCGAGAATGTTCGTCCCAGGGAGAAGACCAAGAATGGGGGGTTGTACAAATGTGGAATGAAGTGACTAAACGGTGGTGCGGTAAAAGGTGGTTTGGCAGGTTCAGCTGCCAGCATCTCGGCCGATGAGAGCAGTTCGAGAGAGTGAGAGCATATAGAACGGGAGCGGAGAGAGCGAGCGAAGAATTGTTGAGACATGGATCCATAGACTCAATTACTTTCCTTGGGTTCATAATCGACAAAAATGGGAGATGCCCGGCTCCAACAAATATCGAAGCTATTAAGAAGATGCCCCTCCAAAAAATGTCCTCACGCTGTGGTCCTTCTTAAGACTCATCAGCCACTACAGCCAAGTATTGCCTCACATGCACAGCGTAAGTGGATCGCTTAAATGAGCTACTGACCATGGACAAACGCTGGCACTGGTCCGAAAGTTGTCAGAAGTCCTTTGAATATGTGAAGAGGATGCTGAGTTCTGAACTCTTGCAAACGCATTTCGACCATACACTAGAAATCCTGGTGCCGGCAAACGCTTCGAACTACGGCATTGGGGCACTTATCTCTCACAAGTTCGCAGACGGTTCAGCAAAACCCATTACACATGCAGCCCCGTTCTTGTCGCCAGCCGAAATGAATTACGGACAGATAGAGAAGGAGGATTTAGTCATAGCGTTTGCAATAAAGAAAGTTCACAAGCTGCTCTTTGCACTATTCGGTTCGAAGTCTGATATACTCGTCTATACTGCGAACAGACTGCAGCGTTGAGTCACGTCGGTGCTCGGTTATGAATTTGTGGTGAAGTACACGACTAACAAGGTCATAGGCCAAGCGGATGCACTTTCCTGACTATTGGGAAATCTGCAGCACCAACAGGAAAAGTCCATCATCGCAAGGAGCTCCTTAGAATCAGAGCCGAATAAAGTATTGATGGAAAGTTTTAAGCATTTTCCTGTGACTTACGAAACGGTTCGTGAAGCATTTGCGTGAGATTCCATCTTACAACAGACAACCAAATTCCATACTACTCAGTGGCCGAGAGACAATCCAGCTGATAAGTTACAAATTTTGTCCAGGAAGAAGGATGAGCGCTCGATCTTTAATGGGTGTTTACTTCTGGCCAAAAGAGTTATCATTCCCAATGAGATTAGTCATAGGGTTCTCAAGCAATTTCACCGAGATCTTTCTGGCATTAACCGAATGAAAAGCATTTCGCGAAGTCTCATTTACTGGCCGAACATTGATTCGGAACTGGAGCAAGTGGCATAATTGTGTCTGAGATGCGCGCCTTGCAGTGAGGCACTCAGAAAGACTTGACTAGCTTTTGGCCGATGACAGCGGAACCATGGGAAGGAGTGCACGATGATTTCTTTGATCTTGTGAATGGTCAGCAGTATCCAGTCGTTGCTGACTCCTTCAACAAGTGGCCTGAGGTATGTATGGAGCATACAACAAGCGGTGCAACAATTAACGTTCTGAGAAGGTTTTTTACTCAGCATGGAATACCTGGAACCTTAGTAACCGATAATGGTTCGCAGTACGCTTCTTCCCCGTTTGCCGAGTTTTGCGCACAAAATGGCTGTTACACTCAACCGAAATCAGAACAACAGCATTGCAAATGGAAGTTTAGTAGAAGCAATGGCAATAGTACATCGGCAGTCCACACTGGGTACAGATCAACTGTTTAGTTTTACGCAGTTCACATGTTTTAGCTAAGCACTCGCTTTTGAACCCATCGATAAGCATCGCTGGTTAGTCGGGAGATGGACACTCACGCACTAGCGCGCACAATGCAGCTCCACAGGCTAGGTAGTGTAGCATGACCATGACGTGCTCAACGTCTGTATCAATGGCATTACGCATTTACGCTCACAGCCGTTTCAAACCCTAGTCAAACGGACAAGCAGAACGCCTGGTTGATACGTTTAGACGATCGCTACTGAAGATGAGGGGGAACTACGCAAGAGCTACTGGACGCATTTCTGTTAGGGTATAGATAAACTTCGAATCCCCGGGTGCCAAAGCAGTTGTCACCAGCAGAGGCATTAATTGGAAAAAGCTGTGCACAGTAAATTCCTTGCTTCTCCCGTGCCGTACTATTCTGCAACAAAGGCACCTCCGAATGGAGAGGTACTACAATGAGTCACACAGAATTTAAGCACGTCAATTTTCCCCGAGACAACGTGTTTTGTTCAGAGACTATGGTGTAGGAAGTCCTCAGTAGGTGACAGGATCGGTCCGGGGAAGACTTGGTCGGGTACTCTATGAAGTTAGAATGGGTACTTTGATTTGGACCAGGCATGCTAATCAGCTGCGATCAACTAGCATTCCGGTAAGCACTAGTAATCGACTGCTACCGCTACGTATTCTACTGGACAGTTTTAATATGTCATCAAATACTCCAAAAGTTTCGGATGCACCTTGCACAGAATTTCCAGGAGTGCAACCACGGCGCCGGATTGATCGAGCACGGAGATCCGTCATCCGAATGCAGCTAGATCCAAGAAGAAAGCCTTTCGCTAATTTTCAAGGGTAAAGGTGTTAAAGGGGTAGGCACCCCTTCCCTAGCAGTCAGAACAGTTGACCATGACGCAGGTCCAAGCTTATTGGCCAACCAATGAGAGCAGGCTAATGATGACACGTCATTTTGAACACTGCCAATGAGGACGGTCTACTTCGAAGCCCGCCAGTTGGTGCTTGGCCATTCTCTCATTAACTATTGATTCGAACCCATTTTTGATTTGCTTAAACTAGTTGCCGGGTGAGCAATACAGTTTTTGTCTGAGGCCTTCTAATATGGAAAGTTGGTCGGTCAGCTTGAGTGGTAGCATCAGGGGAAATCACAATAAAGTGCATCAGAGAAAATTTTCGGGCATAGAGAGTAGGTCACTGCAAACCCTCTAGGCTGTGCTGCTCCTGGATGTTGCTCATAGTGTCATATTCTGCTGGTGTCCTTTAAATAAATCGTTAAAAAATCAAATTACTTTTAAAAATTTTAAATGTAAACAGTCAAGCCATATGTGAATGATTCTCCTAAGTTTTCTATAGCATAGTAAAAGAGCACATTTAAACGCTTAGCAGAATGTGAGCTAATAAAGCACACACAAACCCCACCTCGTCTTGCTTAGCCGGACCACTTTATTCTGGCCAACAATGTATGCTGGAGTGGAGCCCGACCATAACATGCGAATACATTTCGATTGGATTATGGCGTCTTAAAAACCCGTCAAATGTAATCATAGCTACTTCACTCGCCTACCAGGATGGCGCACAGCAATGTCGTTCCCTTAGTCAGGTGCTATGGGCAGTTCTGAGATCGTTCACTCGCCTCAGACGACTGTGGCTTTAGACACTGTCGTATCAGCGGTTTAGCGTTGATTTCATTATGACGTAACGGGTATTGCATCTCGGTCACCTCCCCATACTGAGGCTGTTGCTGCTGCTACATGTGCGCGTACCAAGCAGCACTCGTTGGCAGCGGTACAAGTTTGTGATACTGAAACTAAAGTGGGTAGCTCACACTCTATGCTTCGAGTTTCGAGCAATGAAATGTTGGAACGGTTTGCCGAATTTAGGCGGATTTAGCGTAGGAATTCAAGAAATTCGCAGACGTGCACTTTGCAGATTTCAGATTCAAGCAGCGCATCGCGCTCGAATAGCGTATAGCGCAACCGTAATAATATATGCAGCAAACACGCAAAAATCAGTGGCCGCATTCGGCGCACTTGCCCGAACTAACTACAATAGAACAACACAGACGTATGTCAACAAGGGCTATTTTCTGTCTTTTTTGATATTCCCTTTATAGTTCTTAAGCAGTGGATATTTTCCCCGTAATTTACCGTTGTTACGTAATTACACGGGCCCTTATTTCTGTGTTGGCCTCGGTTGGAGCGTTACGGCCCCCTGGTTGGGGTCCAAAAGACGATGAACACGTTTGGCTGGATACACTTGCTGACATGGCAAGGAGCCGACCTCAGTGGCGTTCCTGTTGTGAGTTTCTTTGTCCCTTCCCATCCCTTTTAGCCACCCCCTCCACCTACGATCTCATTTCTTAGCGTAAAACACAATAATTTTTTTCCTTTTGCCTAGTAGCCGGCTGGTAGCTTACCGGAACGGTGCCTATCCGTTGTTGGTAGCTCAGCTGGCATGCAACTTTCGTATTTATTCTCCTTCTTCATTTATGTATTGCGGCACAGTAGCTGAGGTGTTTCCCACCTCTAGCTGACGTGTATAATGATGATGATGATGACGTAATTACACTGCCACTTTGTTACAACCCACAGACCAGTTTATCCAAAGGTAGGAAACACTACGTGTTGATATGAACACCGGCCGATTAATATGTCAGGCACACTCACCTTTGGCCATCACAAAGTTCCCTGGGTGCAATGCCGGCTGTTGGGTTACAGACTACCGCAGCGGAAGGCACATGATATGGATTAGGCGGTAAATCGTTCAGGATGCGTTGTGAATGAGCCAACTGAACTCCAACTGGGTTCACTCCATCATCAGAGTGATCGAAATGGTGTGCGTCCACGCTTTGAGTGCAGTCATAGGCAGGAACATGAGGACGCTCCATTGTCTGGGACATGTAGCTGTCAGATGATGAAACGAATCGTATAATAATAACCTGAAAAGTGTATGACTGACAGCCAGCTAAATTTATAGCACGGAATTTCATAAATATGAACTTTGAAAAAAATAGTTCCAATAGAAAGCTTATGCCGGACAATTTGCAGGTTTTAATCCGGTTGAAGGAACGAACATCAAACAAGGGTTAGTGATTTTAGTACTTGACTTTGTATGGATGTTCAATTCATAACCATCGCTGTGTTTACTTTGCAATACTACTAAAAATAAGAAAACTCCTTATTCATTAACACTATACTCATTCGAGTTGAAAACAAGGCAATGAGCGTCCACGCGTAGAATCAGTTCACAATATTGACCGTTAAAAGTACCTGAGTCAGTATAAAGCCGTTCAGTGTAAAGACCCGTTTATCTAATCCACAACTATAATAGGACACAAGATAGAATCAATCGCAGCACAAACCTATATGGACAGGAAAGCCGACACCCATATCTTGTTGATGTTTCTTTGGTGGCATCTCGCCGTCATGTGACAGTATGCTCCCTTCGGGTGTAGCCGATGATCTCAAATGTCGGTTCAGTTTCTCTAATGGTTCCGAAGCTATAGTCTTTTGCAATTTTATCTCCATATCTGCCACCAATTAGGCCAGTTCAGTAGAGCACGAATACCTCGTGAGCTCCCATACGGTTTAGTGGGTTCGGATTAGCATATTCCACTTACTGAGTGAAAATGCTACCAACTGACGAACTGATAAACCTCGAGTGTGCGGAAAGCATGATTCGCTCTGAATCGGGCCCAGTAGTGAACAGACTGCAGCTGCACTCTGCACACTTGGGAATGTGTTTCATATCTCTAAAGCGTAATATAATGTTGGAGGGGCCGAAGTGCTGCCATTTCCAATCATCATTGGACAGCCACCAAAACTGGTTAAACTGTTGATAGTTATGCCACTAACGACGGTCACAGTACTGAAGTCACTTCACGCAGCAATAAAGGCCACTTGACTTTTCAAATCTCCAACCATCTAAGGAGACGGCTGGATATCAGGATGTCTGGCGGTGGTAAAGTGCACAACAAAGCATTAAGGCTGTTTGAAGCTTTAAGCTGGTGTTGAGATTGATCGTCTTTGATCACCGGTGCTTGTGGACTACCGATCATATCTGGTGGAAACATCGAGTGCAAATGCTGGGGTCCGCCAGTTGGTGTTTAACAAGAAACCAATTAGTGCATCCCTACAGTGTTTACTAAGGCCTAACAGCTTACGTTGTCTAAATACCGCCCCCCGTATGCTATTGACTGACTTCCTCGACATGCGCTGTGTCCTGTGCTTGCACTTAGTGTGGCGTAATAGAGAGTTGGTCAGTGGCTGAGGTGAGGTAGTATGAACAAGTTGATGCTTGCTGGTTTCATGGATAAAGGCTTCAGCGGTTGGAGACTTCATCAGTAGTAGTCCTTAGCAGCATAGTGCAGCCACGAAGTCAGATGTGCATCTGCACACGGTTGGTCGCTTTAAATAACTAAATAAATAAGCCACTGGTGGTCATGCGTTCGAATCGTAAAAGGATCCGATGGATCCGCACTACTCATGATGCCCAACAAGCTAGAACTACAGTCTAGTACTTTTGCAGGCATGTGCACGACTATCTGATTTGGAATCTGCTGCGACAAACGCTGAATTAAATAAGTAAATATTTTGTTTCTCGACAGTGCGAGAGACTGTTTCCGTGTAGAGATAGATCAATAAGCACAGAGTTGTGTTTCACGAATGATGTCATCCAGCATAGGATTGGAGAAAATTCATTCCACGATATGGAATATGCATGTATACAGGTTATGTTACTGTTGTACTATATTGCTAGTTCATATCAGTATCACACCTTTACTGTGTTGAATAATGGGAGTATTTGAGCATGTCCGGCGAAGCGCTGGGGAGAGATCGTCGTATTACTGTAAAGGCGTCTATGGGCCTGACTTGGTCAATCACCACTGTAGCTTTAGGCATGTCTATCAATATAAGCATATGCCAACGTAGGATTCTGTCACCAGTTTCCTCAAGGTAAAACTTAACAGTAGAATGATTCCAGTCTGTACAAATCGAAGAAACTCGGTTTCAAAGGCAGTAACAAGTCGTGATAAGCAGCCATGATGCTCCTATATGATGTAGACACCATTTTCAAAAACCCTTTCCCAAGGCTGAGATATCCGTAGCTTGGACATCATGTGTAGTATAGCGATATTTCTTAACAGACATTTTAAACGCATGTAATTTACCACACTTCATGTTGTTTTAGGCCTATTTGTTCCAAAGCCTGGAGTGCGCAATGAGAAAGAAGCTTTATTCCCACTTGGTACAATCATCCAGCCAAGCCGGGTTTAAGCAAACTGTTGTGTTGCCGCTGACGTCTTCACCCCACGACCGCAAAAAGAAGTCCAAAAACGAGCCAGGAAGAGACTTGTATACGTGAAATCACAGTTGCTTATATAGTTTTGAAGGCAAAATAAAAGGAAGTTACTAAATTACACTTGAGCCAACCAGCAGAAGGAAAAACGTCAAATGCAACGGGCGAATAAGCAACCGTGTACTCAAGAGCGAATTGCATATGTCCTTAAAAATAGCATCATGGGGCCCCAAGCGTAAAGTGGCGACGCGAGTTCAATCGAACCCAGAATGACAGTCAGTTTTGAACAATTGCAGGCACTTTTGCAGGAGCAGCAGACGCAGTTCGAAAAATCACAGAGGCAGTTAGCACAAAAATTAAACATCCAAGTAGAATGGGAACTGGAACTGAAGGTGACATCGCAAGAAATTGTTTCAGAATGTCAGAGGTTGTTCAAATTGAATCCTGCTACAAATGTGGTCGCAAATTCGGAAGCTATGGAGGAGCAACACTTCGGCCACATTGTCACTACAAAATCTGATGTGCCCAACAGACTTAAGGATGCGACGGTAAAAATCAATGGCAGTCAGATTACCCAGATGAATAGACGCCACGAATCAATGCCCCAACCTGGTCCAGAATGCTGCAGAATCACCAGTGCTGCCCTGAACCTCAAGCCAGTCACTAAACCAGTATCCAGAGCAAAACGCCTTGTGCCAAACAGGAAAGAAAAGCATTGCAGTTGTCATGCGGTGAAAAACGGACAGACAGGGTGCATCATTTCAGAATTGGTGACAGGGGGTACGCGCGAGAGTTCCGAGGACCGAAGAGGTGGTCGACAGGAAGGGTGATCAGCAGAAATGGTGCAGACAATTACGAACTAACGGTTGGAAACAAGAAATGGATCAGGCACGCAGATCAGCGGAGACCAAACCACGGAAAAACACAAGGGCCCGCAGACAACATATATCGAAGACCGGCCAGAAGGAGAAGAAAACCACCAAGACAACTGGTTGATGTCAAACCAAAGAAAGCTGAATTGACGCAAGTACGCATGGTGAGGAAGCAGCTTAAATTCGGAGGAGGAGGTGTCACGGAGGCGAAACAGCTGACTACGATGGTGCACACTAGCGGGGCCAGATTGGCCAGACCACGTGAGCGGCTGACATACTCGTTGTCATGGTCAAACCGGAAGCTGACGAAATCAGACCGTCATCGCCGCACGGGTTGCTATGTTGCGGACGTGGTCCTACCTACAGTCAGACAGTGATGGCCGCTACCAGAGTCGAATCTGTTCAAACAAGAGATGTGAGTCACCTCATTTATAGCGGCGAGGTGAGCGCATGTGACCTATAAAAGTAACCATGTTCTGTGTCTAATATACTTCGGTCTAGCAGGCTCAGCGTTTTGTTTTCCCCGGCTGGTTGGTAGCGCAGAGAGACAGAGGCAAAGGGCAGCGTCATAACACAAACTATTTAGGGTGAGTGTAAGATTGAGTGAAAAGAGTGGCAATTGAGCAGAGTAAAGCATACCAAAACTGCCACCTCCTTCAATGGTTAGTGACTATCTCCATTATGGCCAAAGAGTAGATTTTCTTTCTTCTGATTCAAACCGATGAAGTGCAGGGTCGAAGGAAGCAGAACAAAACACTCTGATGAACGATGAACAATGATTTATAAAGGGTATAAAAGCAGGTGCTTGACATGTCCCGTAGGGTGGTTAGAGTGAGCAAAGATAGATCAAGGGATAATGGAATCGTCGGTTCGTGCGATTACAGATTTAACTGCACTGCCGAGTAAAGGGAGTTTGAAATGAGAACGTGCGCACACAAAGCAATAAGAGGGAGTGGTTATTGAGAAAAAAATGGTTATTGAGAAAAAAATAAAAAATAGCAAGGACAACGCTGACTCGTTGGCAGCTATCTCGGGTCGACGGGATACAGAAATCCAGCTTCTACAGTACTAGCGTTTATCAAATTGTGTGCAAGGGGTTTGGAGTGACTCATTCTCGAGTTTGGGTTATGGCACTGTCCACTGTCGGTTGTGAGTTAGTGCCAGCATCTGGTGGTCATGGGCTATAGCACGTAGTGTAAATGTGACAGAGTTTCGTCAAGGCGTTTTTTTGAAAAGGGATAATGTGAGAGAATTAATTACAGGTTCCGGGAGGGCGTTCCAAGGCTGTGACACTCGAAAGGAGAAAAAGTTTCGCCGACATTCCAATCGGCTGTACACAAGAAAGCGAAAACTTGAAACCCTGCTTCACCTTGTATCACTTTGTTTAAATACATTATAAGGCTGATGAATGGTGGATTCTGAAGTAATTACGGGAATAAATTCTGTAACAGAATAGAGGGACTCACTTAAATGGGCTCGTGGGTGCCTTATATGTATCTGAAACGCAAAATAATCAAACTATCATTTTCAAATAAAAGTGGGTAATCATTCACTTTAGTTCATATATGGAGAAGCGGTAAAGTGATTTTGTCAGTGGATCCCGTTTGTCAAGTATCAATGTATCAGTTGAACAATGATCTATTACAGGTAAAAAGCAAATGCTTAACAAGTCCCGTAGGATGGCGAGAATGAGAACCACAAATGGGATAAAGAAAACAGCGCTAAAACGAAAAGCCTTTTGTTGGACTCACCATGGTGTTCATACAGAAGTGTGCAGCAATGTGCCAATCTCGTTGTTTAGATTAATGCTGATTGTGCAACATCGTCATATTATATACTCTGTCGATGTAGACTAGTGATGTAGGTGGGTTAGGGTAACTTCTAGGCGTTTTTAAGCACAAAATGTAGGGGCAGAAACAACGGAATTTGGGAGGGCGTTCCATGGCTGGCAGACACGAAGACAGTAAAAGTTTAGTCGACATTCTAGCTGACTATATTGTATGGTTAACTTGAGCTGGTGGCCCCTCAACTTTGTGCTTTGATTGAGTTGCAGTAGATGGCGTCAGACCTGGTTGGGGATCCTGGAAACCCGCTAGGCCGTTATTAGGTCGCCACCTAGGCGGTGATAATAGCTGCGGTACAATCTCACAGTCCTCGGCTTAAGTTGATATGGAAGATGAAACAACCCTTTGACGTGCTTCGTGGCTCTTCGCTGTGGAGTCTCGAGTGCTGCGAGATCTTGCTTGTGCCATGGCTGCCAGGCTTTGATTACGTATTCCACATGCGGCCGCATGGATGTTTCAAGCAACTGCGGGTAGACAGATGGATGGAACCGCTCGAATGCTCTTCGTAGCATACCAACGTGTTGGTCCCAAATCTTTGGCGCCTTCACAATTTATATCGGCCTGGAGTAATGCACCAAGGTTGCGCTTCTGGGTGACTGCTTGCAGGTCACGGTCTCCAAACTTGTGGATGATGTTCGGCTGGAGACGAATGTAGACCACCTTACACCTAGTCGGATTAAACAGGAGCAGCTTGTGGAATGAGCATTCATAGGCCCTGTTCCGGTCTCGCGAAAGTGCATGGTGATCTCCTTGGTCGGCAATCGTCCGCCACATCGTAACATCATCAGCGAAAAACTAACAATCCTAGGCAATCAAAAGCGTAAAGTTGGTAATGCACACGAAAAATAGACGCGGCTCGAGAACTGTTCCTTGTGGAACTACACTCGACATCAAGCGGATCAGATAGCGCTCTTTTAACCCTAACCTGCAGTTGCCGATTTCGCACAAAATTCCCGATCCACTCAAGAAAAGGAATGTACAACTACATAGCTCTTGAACCCGTGTAGCAGAATGGGTTGGTCCAGGCAACTGAAGACTTTGGAGAAATCGAGGAAATTAACTTCGGTCCCACTAACTCTGTCTGCCGCCTCCATCCAGTTACTGTGCGCAGTCAGTAGGTGGGTTGTGCATGAACGGTGTTATCAGAAACCGTGGTGCTCCGGTGCTATGATATTGTAGCATTCTAGATGGTAGACTAAAGCCACAGTGATGATTGCCTCCATCACCTTTGACAGTACAGGGAGGAGGACTACTGAATGATAGTTTGCGGGTTCCGAGAGACTGACACTTTCAAAATTAGCATCATTAGACTATGCTTCCACATGTACGCACAATTTCTTTATCCCAAGACGTTTGGATGAAATGCGCCGCTTGCTTGGCCAGCACTGTTGTTGCTACCTTTAGCGCCGTCGGGTGAATGCAACTGATTCCGCGAGAACTGCAGGTGCGCAGTGAGAACAGTTTATTCAACACAAATGTGGCAGTCAAATCGACGTGAATAAGCGCTGGAATCTGGGCTATGGATGTAGGTATGTAATAGTGACGGGTGTTTCATTGCAAGCTCGGGGCATACTGCACCTATAGAGCGTTGGCCGCCACTTGCGCGCTCTGTGCTATTCCGACTGTAGTTTTAAGTAGGGGATACCGTGCTTCATCTTTTGAATGATGTTAACATGCTTATATATGGGCTTTTTGTTTTTGGCAAACTTACACGCAAAATGCTATTGATGAGTCAATTTATCCTTACGGACAAGTGTATTACAATGTTTGCGCTGGGTCACGTAGTCGTTCCAAGTTGCGGGACCATGACAGGTTCTGTAAGTGCGCTAAACTGTATTTCCTAGCGACATGCGTTTTCTGGTTCTGCTTCTGATGAATAGATGGGTGGAAGGAACTCGCTTATTTTCTGAAGCAGTTATAATCAGATTGCTGAATTGTCCAACAGATTAAATCAAACGCTGTCAGAGAGCCACCTTTTACTTGTTCCTAATCGATCATAGCAACCAGATCTGTCAGGATGTGGTAGCGCATGATAATATGTGTTAGTTCCGTTAGTTCCGTTCATCCGGATATTCAGGGTAACACACATTGCCATAAAGTATAGTGCTATGATCACTTTGCGCTAGTGGGGCGTCTATTAATGGCTTGTCGATCATGAGTTTCTCATTTGTAAGTAGGAAGTCTAATACCGATGGTCTATTATCAGATTTGTACCTGGTAAGTGAGGTGATCTGTTCGTAAAATGGAATACTTGCGACGAGGTCTTGAAGTTCCCCAATGTATTTTTTGCTGGTGATGCCAAGACGTCCAGGTAGTGCACGTTGAAACCACCTGAGGTAAGAATGTGGTTGTAACTTACGAGCATACTTTTGTCAGCGCCGATATTAGGCGGGAATCTATCTGTGAAGTGGACGACGGGGAGCGATGTACGATTGTCATCGCATCTGAGACAAAAAACGGCAACGTTGCTAATCGGTTACCCGCGTCTCTGGATCATCTAATTGTAAGTCCCTTGCTGGGACGATCGTTTTAAAACAGTAACGATGCATGCATCGCGATCTCGGCATCTGTAACCTCTGAGCGAAGCCAAGTCTCGATTAAGAAGATGACACCCCCAGCTTCTGTTGCCTAACGTAACCGAAGCTCGGCAGTTGTGCTGAGATGGACTTGGGCATTGGTGTACGTGCGGGAAAGTGTTTCGGTTCTCAGAAGCTAGGGAAAACACATGTGGTACGGATGGGAGATGTTGCCGACCGTTGTATGGTCGGCCGCTAGTCGCTTTTGCTGAAATTGCCTGTGAGTCGTTTAGAGTTGGGTTCGGCGGAATCGTACTTAGCCCTCTGGTAATTCATTTTGCACAATGTACGTATAGTGGTTACAGAATTGCATAGGAACTGCCTCGCTTCTTTCGGCTCTGCTTCCTTGGTGGAGTTCGTATTGGTTTCCTAGTTCGTTTGTCTGCTGCGGTGGTGCCTTAAGTCCGACGACAACTTCGCTCGTAGTTTTGAACTGAAGCTCGGTTGGCAGCCTCTTCCAAAGCGATTGCCAGCGTTCCAGTAGCCTAAGTGCCATCTGTTGAGCTTGCAGCACAACCTTTATTATCCTTGATTCGCACCATTTATAGCTTGTTGGTCTTGGCAGCCTTTCGAGAGTAGTAGCTACAACGTTATCCACGAGCAGGATTTTAAGAATATAGTGCCGCTACTCCTAGTCGTGATTCCCTGCTTCATATTCATCATGCTCATGAGACTGAGGGACGTCATGGGCAAAAACGTCTCTGGACTTGGTGTCTAAGCGGAACTCTTCTATGCTCAGCCTCGCTCACTTGCGCTCGCTCCATGGATGGTCTGGAAGGTCACGGTCCAAACCGGATCCCTTCTGGATACAAGCTGTCCAAAACAAGACTACAGCCAACACAGTGACAGAGTTAAGCACCAAACAAAGACACCTGTCTTCACCATAGTGCATAGAATTCGGGTGGGGCGTGATCATCATCAGACTGAGAGGTTCAGTCGCAGTACCGAGCAGGTTGCTTATAGTGTTTTATTGGCTCATCTCATCCATCTGCTTCCTCTACAGTGAATTCGATGTTAACTGTGAAACGTTGATACATATAATGGATAGGGTACCCAATTGTTTCTGGGTGTTTTTCAGGTGAGTATGCGTCATGGCTGGGAGACCGCGCGATTCGCTACGTATGGGTGCAGCGTCGCCTCTCGCATTAGTCTTAGGTTTTAGGAGTGGGAACTACAGCGGCTGGTATTTGAGTGCTCTTGGATGCAACAGCAGCCCAGCTGCTACTGATATTAGCTTGTTCCTGAGTATCAGCGAACACTGCTGGGAGGGAATGGGTTTGGGGGAATTGTTGCAAATGGGCTAGAGGTGAAGGGTTCGGGTGCGGCTGGGCGATTTGACGTAGTGGCGGTGTTTGCAGGATTAACTGTTAGTGTAACATCAGATGTGCATTTAGCTTGTAGTAGAGTTCAGTTAAGTGGTCTGTGTCACACATTCTGCTATGCTTGTCCCTATTTAGGCCATATTGTTGATCACCATCTGCTCCATAAACATCCCCAGCCTTTCAAAATTCTGGGACAGTGCAATTGCGGTTTTAACTAATGGAATGGTATTACCCATCACGCGGAACCTGGCCTGCAGCTGAGTAGCCTAAATGTGCTCGGTTTTATGTATGTTACATTTTGCATGATGACAAGTGGGCCAGTCCGAATATGAATGTCCAATTATGACCACTTTATTGAGCGCCGCACAGGTGCCTTTAAGTACCGCGGTTCGGCCACCTTCGCTCATCAGTTCACGTAAACTTTGTGTTGGCAATCTGTCCAACCTAGACACATGATCGCTTGTTCCTGCGCCAAGGTCAGTTTGCGGAGACAAACGGCTGTCTCACTCTCCCTCTCTCGTAGCCGCGCGCAGCGTGCCAGATTCAGCGATCGGTCGTCTTGCAATATTGCACTCACAATTACACAAAAATGTGGCGTTAGTTGATCGGCTCGTGCTAAGCGACGACGCGATTGGGGCGCTAACAAGCGTCTCTAAGTGTCTCGGACACGACGTTTAGTGGATGGATGGCGCAAAATGTCCTGTGGCTATGGTATGCAGCAGTCTGCATAGATGGACGTAGGGTCGTTCGAGAGTCCTCAGCTTTGTCTTCCGAACTAAATCAAAATTATTCCGGAACAGCTCAAGTGTGGGGTAACTGCATGCGTAGATCCATTGCTGCTACTGTTGTGCCATGGGCTCATGTCCTAGACGCCTCCTCGTTGCGACAACTGGGTGGGAGTTGGGTTATGCCCTTCTCCCTGCTAAGATCCAGGGCACCAATCCGCATGAGTCAGTGAAGTGACCACGTGCTAGGCCCGCAGCCTTTCGGGTGTACATTTAATCGAAGGCTTTGGCTGAGAACCCGAATCGTTATCCCGTCAAATGTGGGCGCCTTGTCAGTACCTCAGTCCATCCGCTTCGGAGGTTGGGATGTGGTCGATGGCTTTCTTCCCGTAAAACCTAGCCATGGGAGACAACAGTTCTACTGGTTATAAGCTCACATCTCGTTGGATGTAGAGCACGAGCACCACGCATTGTCTCTGACGGTGGGAGGGCACCTCCGGGTGTTCAATGGCTTGCTACTACCCGCCTCAAGCCAGGCAGCCCCTGGTCAAATTGGTGCAAACACGCCAAAACCCATCTGCGTCTGGTCATGGTCGCAGGTGTGTCCTACTATGGTCACAAAACAAATATGAATCGTTCCAGGGCCTCAAAGACTGCGTGTGTCGGCCGTCAAACAGATCCCGATCTGTCTCTGCAGTCACATTCCCGAGCTAGATCTACTTCTCACTGCCTTGTGGGTCAGACTATCGAGCCGAGGTCCCTGGATGGAGTCCCGCAAGCAAACCTCCGAAGCACAAGCACCACCTGGCGTGCCATTGCCCAGCAATGCAATCGTATGCCTGCCCGCAAAGCACTCAGCATCGGGTGCTGGGACGTGCGCACACTACTCGGCTGGAACTCGAGTGACCGCCCCGAGCGACGCACTGCAGTCGTCGCGATGGAACTGGTGCGCTACAACATCGATATTACGGCGTTCAGTGAGACCAGGCTCGCTGAGCAAGGTAAGTTATATGAAGCAGGTGCTAGCTACACGTTCCACTGGGTAAGCAAACTACCTCAGTACCCCGTAAACATGGGGTCGGCTATCCAATATCCGACCGCCTCCATGGCCTGCTGGTGGGTGAACCAACAGGCATCAGCACGCGACTGATGACTGTTCCCCTACGACTTGGAAGATGCAAGTTTGGCACTTTTATAAGAACATGCGTTCCAGGCGTTCGCAACCAAGTGGGAATTCGTGCACCAGAATACCAGCCCATGACACAGTCGATCGATTGGAAAGGCGGACTCGGCAGTAAAGCAGGAAAAGCGACTATTAACAAAGGCTAGAGCAACTGGCGACGAGCATATGCTATTGGATTATCGCAACACTCATTCGAAGAATATCGGTTTGAGCCAAGTGCAGCGCCTATAAAGCCGAAGGACTAGAACTCCGATACCGGTACCTGCCACACATTGTGCCCAGTTTCGCCACAGCACGAACGATTACAGAACAACCTGAGATGACGAATGACCACTCAGAAACGGTACTATGACCGCGGTGCACGGATATTATCTGACCTAACAGTGGGGAAGTGTGGGTTCAACCATTACCCGATAGTCAAGAGCGATGGAAGAAAGGTGTGATGACTGCGAGGGTCAGTGACAGGTCATACGAAATGAATGTTGGAGGGAAAACGTTCAGAAGAAATCGAGTGCATTTGAGACGAAACCGGAGACAATAATGTGGATTGGAAGTGGATTTGCAGATGACGTGGGGCAAAGAGACCACGGCCGCAGATACAGCGAGGATGACGCGGAGTGTCAAGGTGTACGGCGTAGATAGCAATATGGAGGCGCAAGAAGATGAAAAAAGTAGCGTGTGATGGTAGTATCTCAGAGTGGGCAGATGGACCAACCGAGCGAGCCTGACAACCAATGGGAGGTGGACGTGACGAATTCGATTATTGGACTCTGATTGGACGATATTTGTGTGCGTGATTTGCCGTTTGTTTAACTGAAGCAAAGAATGAACTTCATGGACTCAGAAAGATTGGTAGTTATGGAGTTGAACCTGCAATTTATATTGAGGAGTTTGGCTAGCTAAACATGCTGTACTTATCGCTAAGCTGGCTTTGCCGAACAAATGCTTGTCCCTGAAGGACTGAGTTCTGCAACATATGTATGCAAATGAAGGCTTGGTCATGACCAGTTCTGTGTAGGTAATTGTGGAACGAGCTGTTCTGACAGACTTATCGACGTCGGGACAATTTAACTGGACATTGCTACATCACAAAGGCTTACCAAGTGTGTTTGCGCGGATGGCTCCAAAATTGCTTGGACCGTTTTCGGTTAAACCCTGGTGCGGCGGAAAGTTGGATGAATTGAATAATTCCGTTCTGAAATAGAACACCAAGCCGGACGACAGAGTTAAGGACAGATGAGCGACTGGAAACAAGGGCTATATTTGAGATCAAGGCAGCAGTAAAATTGAAAAAATAAACGGTTGGGTTTGTCCAATGGACGCAAATTGCGTTCCACCCAGTTTGGAAATATCATCACAGCATAAAGAAGGCGCAGCAACACTAAGCACTACGTGACCAGCGAGTCTGTTGGACATACATACTACTTGGCAATAAAATAACTCTGCATTGGCTTCGTATTTGTTCAGAGCAGTACCTAATATGGTCTGACGAAGGAAGATGGCTCTAGAAGATAATCAAATATATACAGCCCAACTTTTGTTAACATTGTGCTTTATTGTTAGGGAATATTAAAGTAAAGGTTAAAGTGAGCAAGTACTCACCATGTGAGCAAATAATCCTCAGCCTCCTCCTCCTCCTCCTCATCATCGTCGTCGTCATCATCATCACTATCACCACCATCATCATCATCATCATCAACATCATCATCATCATAATGGCACTGGAGGCAGCAGGAAGCCAACTGGCAGGACATTTAGCTCAGTTTTTCCAACGCTGCTTAGACCAGAACCAAGTTCCCGCCATGTGGAACTTAGAATAATAACCCCGATTCACAAAGGTGGAAGCAGCACTGATCCCTCCAACTACCGCCAAGTATCCCTTCTTCCTATACTCTCCAAAGTCATGGAATCCATAGTTGCCGATGCACTGGTGTGCTATCTGGAAAACTGCAACCTCATCACTCCTGAACAGCACGGTTTCCGTCGACAGCGGTCATGTACAACGAATTTACTAATTGCACGCAGTCGTTGGACCGAGGCAGCTGACGCTGCAGAAGGTGTTGATGTGATCTACCTGGATTTTTCCAAGGCTTTCGATCGTCTAGACCATCGGATACTACTATCCAAGCTGCAGCATTACGGGATCGGCGACCCTCTTTTAAGCTGGATCGCCAACTTTCTATTTCAACGGCAATTAGTGGTCAGAGTTCGGAGCTCTTTATCGAACCCCATACAAGTTGAGTGTGGTGTGCCGCAAGTCGCAGTTCTAGGTCCAAGTTTGTTTTTGGTGTTTATTAATGATCTTGTACAAGGAGTCGCTTCAAACTTCCTAATGTTTGCCGACGATATCAAGATCTGGCGCAGGATCGAGGCGAACTTGGAGCAACATGTGTTTCAGAGTGACCCAGATACGGTGTATCAATGGTCGATCCAAAACTTATTGCTTTTCAACGTCAGTAAATGCAAGGTGCTTTCCATCCGACATCAGGGTAGCTACTCATACCGGCTCGGAACGAATATACTAAAACAATCAGCTGTCGAACGTGACTTGGGTATACTGGTTCAAGCTGACTTGGGTTGATCCAGGCAATCCGAAAAGGCCTCGAAGACCGGGAACCAACACGTCGGGCTGTTGCGACGGGCGTTTGGACAAGTAAACAGCTCCATATTTCGACAAATGCTCAGTGCGTATGTTCGCCCCCCATGTCGAATACGCAATTCAAGCCTGGCATCCATGGCTGAAACACGACCTTAATGCACTGGAGCAGCCACAACGCTGGGCATCTAAGAACGTACTTGGAATTCGTAATCTTCCCTACCAGGAGAGGCTGCAACGATTGGGGGTGTTCAGTGGAAGCAATCGCAGATTACGAGGTGACCTGATTATGGCATACTTGCGTATGCGAGACCCACATCATGCGTGCCGCCTTTTACTGCAACTCAGCAGTCATACAAGCCTGAGGGACCAGTCATTAAAACTCGCAGAACAATACAGTCGTCTGGAGTGCCGCAGAAATTTCTTTTCCATCCGTGTCTGTCACCCGTGGAAAGCTCTCCCAGAATCGGTCGTCTCTGCACCGACACTAACAATATTTAATAGGCGGTTGGACGATGCACTCATACACTCACACTTTGTCACTTAACACTACGTCTCCATCCTACACCTGGAGTATACCATGAAATTATTTGTTGTTGACTGTGGGTGCTGTGAATCTAAGAGGATCGCAGGACCACAGCGGAGCAAACGATAAGTCCTCATTTTCATATTTTAATTATAAACTATTTTACTATCCTTATCAGCATTACTGTTATGTTCATCTCCCCACCAACTATCCAACGGAACTTGTAAAGCAACGCTTCTTGACCCGTATAAATTCATTGTTCATTGTTCATTAATCATCATCATCATCACCACCACCATCATCATCATCATCATCATTATTATTATCATCATCATCATCATCATCATCATCATCATCATTAGCATCGTCATCATCATCATCATAATCATAATCATCATCATCACCACCACCACCACCACCACCATCATCATCATCATCATCATCATCAGAATCATCGTTATTATATCATCACCATCGTCATTATTATTATTATTATTATTATCATCATCATCATCATCATCATCTTCATCATCATCATCCTCCTCCTCCTCCTCCTCCTCCTCCTCATCATCATCATCATCATCAGCGTCATCATCATCACCATTATCATCATCACCACCATTATTATTATTATTATCATCATCAGCAGCAGCAGCATCAACCTTATCATTAACATCAATCAACTTCCTCATGAGTACGATCATCATTATCCTCTTCATCATCACCACACTATTCACCCACATCCTCCTTCTCCTCCTAGTCATGATCATCCTCCTGATCCTCGACCTCGTTGGTTACCTTCGTGATGAGCATGAACTTCATTATCATTATTATCATCATTCTCAACACACTTAAGATCCTCAGCATCGTCCTCCTCCTCACCATCATCATTATCATTAAAGCGGACACCTCGCTGTAGTTGCTCCATTGTCATTGGGCATCGCGCAAATGCGTTTACGTACAGTTTATGCAGCGTAAATTTCATATTTCATGCCTTCGTCTGCCTATGGACCAATTTCGAGTAATTCAAGGCATTCAGCACTATTTTTAGTAGACCAGTTGTAAGCGATATCAGTCTAAACTTGGGATGAAAGATACCGAAAAGCCTGATACGCGGATGCGTAGAGCGAAGTGCGCTAGAAAGCGCAACTCGGTTTGTCCAACACCAAAATCAGAAAGGCAGCCAACACCTAGTAGGGCAGCGAATTGCTCCCTGGAGCAAGCGCAATTTTAAGACCTACTACTTCTTCAGTTGACACTAAACTCTAATTTGTAATAAGCGAATTGGTGATAATGAATGAAAAAAGCAAATACCAAAAAGCGAGAGCATTGTGTAGCGACCTGAGGCGCCGCATCCTCATGGTCTTTCACGCACCCGAAATTTGTGATTCCAATCCTCAGGTGCGCTATGAACATGACGTCAAGCTTTTGCAAACTCTGATTGATAGACTGCTCGAACTGGATGAGGGCTGACTGAAAGTGAAACAGATCGCTCGTCTCGGATAGAGAATCGAGGGCAAAAGTCGACCTATGAGGGTGACTTTTCTCGAAGAGGCAAGTCCTAAGTTTATATAGGCCCGCCTTACCAGGCTGAAAGGTTTGAAGATCCATGTGCGCGCTGACTTAGACCCAGCAGAGAGAGAGAAGCTCAAGACTGTGATGATTGAACTAAAGCGACGCACGGACGATGGGGAATCAAAACCCCGCATTGTAAATTTTCGGGTAGTCACCCGGATTCCTCAGCGTATCCGGATCAACAGGTTTCTGATGCTTCAGGTGCGCTGAGCGGTTCCTACCGCGGTCTGCGCGTAGCCTTTACTAACGTATGCAGTCTGATGAACAAACACGATGAGCTGTGCTACTTTGTAACGTCACAGCGGCTAAACGTATTAGGCCTTGCTGACACTTGGTTAAACTCCGACGTAACCGCCCAAGAAGTGGAAATCACCGGCTACTCATGCTTCCGCTGTGATAGACCATCAAATGATCGTGGTGGCGATTTGCTTTACATAAGGTCTGCTTTATGTGGGAGACTAGTGAGCAACTTCCGAAGCGCTGATGGTTTATGTGAGCAGTTATGGTGTTCGATTCACCTCAGACGCTGCGAGCTGCTCGGGGATGTGGTATATCGCAGTCCACGGAGCCGCTGCTTGGACTGGTCGCCGCATGTCCGCAATCACATGAGTCGTCATATGTTCCTACTCATGGGCACTTTCAACTTACCCCGAATACCGTGGTCTGAAGCTGAACTTCTCCCAGGCCATTGTGAAGTTGTGAGGAAGTTTACGGTGTTCATATTTGAAACCGGGGTCATACAGTACATCAACCAATTGACGCGCATAACTGCGCGCGCGGCTCCATCATGCTTAGACCTGCTTTTGACCAGCTGTGAGCAATGTATGCATGCTATTTAAGTCTTGGAGCCTCACGGGAGCGAGTGACCACTCGATGATCATAGCAAGGTTGGAACTGCCGCTGGCGTATTCACTTCCGCTGGAACCAGCCTACAACTATTGGAAGGCGGTCTTAAATCGCCTTACTCGAGCAGCGAGCCAAATGGACTGTTCGTTACCAGAAGATTCGTCTATTGAAACCTGTTGGACTATCATTAAGGAGGGAGTGAAATGATTGTGCGCACTATTTGTAATCCACAAGTATCGGAAAGTTGGGCCAGTCGAACCACATTGGTTCGACAAGTAGTACAGCAAACTGGCCCGACGACGACGCAGACCATGGAACAAATTCGTGTTATCTGGTTCTGATGCGGACTACAAAGCGTCCAAGATGCAGCAACATCACTGCAACAACGCGAAAACAAAAGACACACAAGCATCGGAGGACAACTTGCAACCGCCTCAAAAACTGATCCCAAATGGATCTTTGCCTACGTGAAGCGGCGCCTGAGGCCTGCAGGTAACGTGCCAGTGTTGGAATGTTCAGATGGGCAGCACCTAACCTCGAGCACAGAGCGTGCGCACGCATTGGCGGCTCACTTCGCTTCCGTATTTGCAAGTGACCAGGTGTCTGTACCGACTTCGAAGAGTTTCGATCCAGCTGAAATTGACTGCCTGGA